CAGTAATGGTGTGCGGCAAGGTGGGATTTTATCTCCTGCTCTTTTTAATCTTTTTATGGATGATCTGTCACAGAGACTAAATGCATGTAAAACTGGTTGTGCTATTGGKTTTACCCTTGTAAATCATTTGATGTATGCAGATGATCTTGTTGTATTCAGTCCCAGTAGTGTAGGACTCCAAGAACCTTTAAATATTTGTTCCGAGTATGGCATGGAACATGATATAATAAATAATGCCAGTAAAAGTGTTGTCATGATCAGCAGGACTAAGGATGACAAAAAATGTGAGCTTAGTTTTTATTAWGTGGAAATACTCTGACTGTGAGTAATAAAGTCAAATATCTGGGGCATTTTGTCACTGAAGACCTGACGATGATGATGATATTTACAAGCAGTGTCACCTGCTGTATGGACAGACTATCAGGAGGTTTGGTGCTTGTACTGATGAGGTAAAGATATCTCTGTTTAAGGCCTACTGCACACCTTTATATGCTGCACATTTGTGATCTAACTACAAGAGAGCTAGCATGAGTAAACTTAACGTGGCAAACAACGATTGCCTCAGACTCTTACTGAAGAAGCCAAGATGGGAAAGTGCCAGTGTGACAACTAGGCTCAAATCTTTTCGGGCTCTTTTAAGAAATTTGATGTTTAAATTTATTGGTCGTGTCAATGCATGCTGTAATTGAACTATTATGAGCTTGACTAAGACTCAGTGTAACACRTTACCAGTCCAAGTTGTGGAGGTACTGGTACAGCTGTCTTTTATAGTTTGTTTTGTTTGTTTGTTCTTGGATTTTATTGTTAACCTGCTTCTCTTGTCTGTTCTGTGGACCACGAGTCTGTAATAAAGGTTTGATGGTTTACCACAGATCCTTCCTCCCATCAGCTGTTAGACTCTACAACCATCACTGCTCCCAACAATCTCAATAAGCGTCCGCGTTTGTATTTGCACGCCAAACAACTCTGCCTCTCAATCATTACACAAATAATACACTTTGGCAATGTTATAACCAGTTTTTCCTGTACTGGAACACTGACTTAATGACTGGGTTTGACTCCATTTGCACACCCCGGAGATCAACTCAATCTGCACACCCCTTTGGATCATGAGTCATGACTGTTTTTTCCCCTGTAATTTAGTATTTTTCTGCACGGTGTCTTGCTTTTGTTTTCATTTTTATCTAACTTCATCTTGATAGTCAGTTACAGTAATTATTATTCTTATTTTTGTTTTGAGTTTTCGTTATTTTTTTATTGTTACTATCTTCAATTCTATTATTATTGCTACAGTTGATAATGTCACATAGTAATATACTGTTTCTGTGGATTGATGAATGTATCTGTTGCTGCTCCTACACCTGAATTTCCCCGCGAGGGACAATAAAGGCTGTTTCTATTCTATTCTATTCTATTCTATTCTCACATTTTTGTGTACATAGTGTGTACATTGTGTGTACATTGTGTGTACATAGTGTGTACATAGTGTGTACATAGTGTGTACATAGTGTGTACATTGTGTGTACATAGTGTGTACATAGTGTGTACATAGTGTGTACATAGTGTGTACATTGTGTGTACATAGCGTGTACATTGTGTGTACATAGCGTGTACATAGTGTGTACACAGCAGACAGTTTGACAACAGGTCTGTGAACATGTTTATCTTGTGTTCTGATCCTTCTGGGCCTGTCATCAGTCTCCTCCTCATGTGGGCCGGTCCGGATCCATCTTCCTCTTCCTCCTCCTCCTCCTCCGGACCAGCTCTAGTCCACATTACCCTTCAGTCTGACCCACAGACCCGCTCCTTCAGCCGGACCACATCATTGGATCTCAGGCTCGGTTCTAAACCTGTAAGTGCTCGGTTCTTTACTCTGTGGGGGGTTTTTTATTTCTCGACTTGTTGCTCGGTTCCATCGGTTCTGGGCCCTGAGGACCGGAACGCGCGTGCCGAACACATCAGCAGCAATGGATGCGCAGAGTTCGAACCGAACCGGACCGTGGCAGACTTTTAATAGTCGGTGTGGTTCGGTACTGGGTTTATTTATCTTTATTTTTACCCGCTCTGAACCTTCCTTCATGTTGGGACTTTTTTCCCGCCCAGAGTCGAACTTTCTGAATTCTGCTCGCTGTTGGTTCCGGTTTGACTTCCTGTTTGGTTGAATAAATTCTTTATTCAGTTAAAACAAACAAGACTTTTCACATGGGACTGGACCAAGCCCGGCCAGAGCTGGGTTCATGGTCGACCCGACACTTCCGGGTTCGCCGAAGCCTCCATCTTGTCAGAAACTGAACCCTCCTCTTCCTCAGGATGAAGGTCGACCGAAGGACTCGGGCCCGGTTCTGGTTCCACGTTTGGTCCCGTGAGAATCAGAACCGTGATGCCCTTTAGAAACCATAAAGGCCCTGTTGGGTCTGAGCTGGTTCTGAACCAGTAACCCGAGCTGCAGCAGACTGAATGGGTCATTATAGTCCCACAGTAGCAGGGGGAGGATGTGTCCTGGACTGACCTGGTCCAGGTCCTCTGACCTTCTGAATCCTGAGCCAAACAGCCTAAACCAGAGAGAACCAGACCCACTCCAGACCTGGGCTCATGAGAACCGTTTTACAGACCATAATACAGTTTTATTAAATTAATCAGGGTTAGTTTTACTTCAGATATTTGAGCCCAGCATTGTGAGCTGATCTGATCCTGTTGTCCTCTGGTGATATTATCARATAACTGTCCTGCAGTGAAACAAACTGAGTCTGAACGAGCTGCTTCCTGTTATGTTGTTGCTTTTTGAGTAATTTAAAGGGGCAACATCATGTAAAATCAACTTYTTTGAGTTTTAAATCATGTTATAATGTTAAACTCTCATAAAAAACAAACTCAAAGCCTTGCTTTGACTCATTCATACGGAGCCCGYGAGGGGACACGTGGGATTTATTTTCCTTTTGTGTTCCCACGCAAAAGATTGTTTTGTATGTGAACTGAATTAAATCAGTTTTATTTTGAAATATCCGGTTACCAAAACGGGATGTGTCGCCACAAGTTCGTGAAATTGACATTGATGTTGCGTGGCTGCACTGTGTTAAATATCGGCAGATGACATACTTCATGCGTAGTTGTGTGATCTGTTCATTCTGAAGCTGAATTAAAGCAGTAGGCTAACTCGCTAATGCTGAACATGTAGGCACAACGGTGATAAACTACTTTTACRAGGGAATGCAAATGTTGTTGCGAGGTAACACAATACTATTGCGTGGGAACACAAAAGGAAAAAAAAATCTCCCGTGTCCCCTCGCGGGCTCCGTACATTCATGCATGTTTGAGAAATCCTGCAGCGTTTTTAGGAAGCCATGCTGAGGAGAAAAATGACAGGTGGGGACCAGAAATGCCTTTTGGGACCAGAAACACCCATGGGACGTGTCTTTAAGCCGAACTTCCTCATCACGAAAACACCCCGCCACTCCGCCCAAGACTCGAGAAGGGGTTATCTGCARAATGAAAGTGGGCGTGTCTAAACCATAAACTGTGGGCTACGAGGCCTACATGACGGTATCCTTAGATCCTGCTTGATCTCTTTACAGCCTGACCCTGACTCCAACACTATAAGGTTAACCAGGAGAAATGTGACCCAAGCAGGTTTCTCCAGAAAAAGTGGTGCCGTACAGTAACGCCCCTTTTGCTC